GTGCGTTACATTTAGCTGTGTTCTGCCAATCTCGCGATAATTCGGTGTTCGGGGATCCCTCCTCGTCTCTTCTGCCGGACCTGCGTACTTTATGTCCAGTCTTTATCGTTTAATCAATGTTTCGACACAACGCAAGAATCTGTCCTCGTCATGGCTGCTGCCTCATTTGTTGTCCGTGTTCTCTGTCGAGGCCTGATTGGCGACTGGCTAATCAGGGTGCACTCGCCCGCCACAGTAACAGATTCACGAATGCGTTGTCCAAACCTCGCTATTTGTTTCGGCCAAAGATCGCCCTTAGTCGGTACTTTGATAGAAATTGATGCTGTCAAAGACGTGTTTTTGGTGAAATTTGGAAATGTCATTGGCGTATCCTATCAAGAATTTAAATTACGTTTATTGTGACGTGTAGAACTGGTGGAGGACAGCGCGGTATGAAAATGGTTCTTCTTCGACGCAGTTTTTGTATTACGTCATTGCTTGATTTACTACTAATCGCGTTTAATTCATCTGATACCCACTGTTTATTGAAGTTACATCTTATGTCGTGAAACTTTTCACGAATATCCACCTACTGGAGTTTGTCCCTTGGTATTTTGAGGGTCCCGCATCAGAGACGTCTGTTCATTCTCGATTATTCGCATCGAAATCGCTTAAGAATGCGTATCCTGAGAAGGAAGTACCAAATAACCTAACAATACACAGGCTGGTAAGAAAATTTCGTACAGGAAACAGGATGTGTTTGTCTGAGACCGGTCTTCGTGGAGCGAGAAAGTTGTTGAAATAAGGCCGTACCGGTTTTCAAGCAGTACATCGGGCATTGGCATTGGTTTTCGTCCTCCTGTCTGAGTGTGGTAGGGTTACGTGTTAAATTGATCACCCTGTATATTCAGTTACCTAATAGCGTACTCGCAACAAAGCTAGGATAATTTCCATTATCTCGACGGGATAATTTGGGTGTTACCCGTCGTTTGATCGGACATCTGCTTCCTAGTCTCATGAAGTCTCCGAATATAAAATAGGTTTTCTTCATAGCGCCGAAGAATTTTTTTGTGTCCAAACGCTTCACATTTCCGTATTATGAGGGTGCATGTGATTTTAAGAAAATAAGCTAACCCAACACCAAGGAGCTGAGTCCTTCAGCCACATTCCTCCGCATTTCATGGAACCCGATGACGGTTCATTGCCGTTCACGGTCGTCGTGCTGCGTCTGATTAACCCAATCCACTCCCTCGATATCTTCCCGGAGATTCATTTTAATATTGTCCTCACATCCACGTCAGGGTCTCTTCCCTAAGGGTTTCCATTCAAAATTCTGTACGCATTTCTCATCTCCGTGTATTCATGCTATATGCCCTGTCCATCTCATCCTCTTTGGTGGTGAATTTGATGTTTTAAGTTGCCTGTGACTAGTGTCTGGGAAGTTTGATGGAATTTGTGTTAACATAGGTTTGGTATGCGTGTTTTCTCAGCGACTTCTCCTTCAGTGTTCTGCAATAGGCATTCTTTGCATTTATGATAACAAGCGAGTCGAGTTGGCATAATTTCTTATTTCTTCATAATTTCTTTATCTGCTAATGCATTAGTGTGCTCTGCAGATAATTAATTTATTGACCGTGTGCGTTAATTTCGAAAGGACTTTTCCATGGCGAATGAATTACGTGAAGAACATAGCATGGAATCAACATTTACGAACACAGAACAAGAATGTTTTAGCTAACGATTTTATATTTAATTCTGTTACCAGCTTTTAATGGTTTTAGTTTTTGTTAGAGGTAATTTTACCTTTTGTATTCGGAGGACCTGAAAATGTTCGAAAAGGGCAGATCTAACTTAATTCACGTCCTGTTTTGTCCATGTTTCAAACTCATTTGCCTGTCGTCTTTGCTGACAGACTCACACGGACGTGTTGTGTAACCACGGAGATAAAAATGTTCAGTTTGAAAGCCTCTCGACTCGACTCGAAGCGAGAAAATGTCGAACCGCAGAGGACGAACATGTGGGTTTTTTTTTTTAAGGAATTGTTGTGTGGAAGTTTAGAATTTTAGAACCTGCCCTGGCTCTGTTCTTAGCGTCGGCGTTACATTAAGTGGTTTCGTAAAAGACAATGTAAAGCGGGTTTTTTTCTTTCCGTGTCGAGTGAAAGAGCATATCCTGTCCTACAATTTGACAGTCTGTACATTCACAGCCACCCATGTGACTAAGCAAATCCTACCCACGACGGCGTACGATCTAGGACAAGGAAAACTCTACACCTGGGGTTCTCAGTCTGCAGCCCGCATACATGATTTTCAATGACGTGTCTGCTACTAGAAAGCATTGTTTGTTCATGCCATGAATTAGTGTTGAACACTTACGAGAATCGCCTGTATCCACGGTTACCAAGCCACTCACAGTACAAAGATGTGCTGACTTCTGGGGGTTGCACCAACGTTTAAGAGGTCCTCGCTGCCTCCGTCATCAGGGCTATGAGTTGGCAAACTTTTTACCAGACTACACGGCCATGTTCGAAATCACAGCTGTCAAAACCTCATATCGAACATATTTGGTAATTCTTGAAGTGGCTTTGTAATGTTCGCTGCGCTAGGTGGAATATTGCGGAGACAGGCAAGAAGGCAGTGAATACGAAGAGGGCATGGCGAGAAGGAAAAATGATAATGTGAATGTCGTCATTAGAGAGAGAGAGAGAGAGAGAGAGAGGGAGAGAGAGAGAGGGAGGGAGGGTAAAGAAACTCAGGCAGGCCGGAGGAGCTTTGTCGCAGTGGGAGACGAAATACAAGGCGAAAGGAGCGAGAGGGCGAACGACCAAAGCCGCGGTTCGGAACGAGCTCGTCCAACTGCAAGAGTGATGTGGAGGTTCTTTTTACCTGCCACTCTATGTCGTGTTCCACACCTGGCCTCGGCTCAGCCTACCTTTTCATTATGAACTGGAATTTGCTGTCGGTCTGCTTCGTAGTTTCGTCATTTAATATAACAATTTCGTTTTGTAGTTGAGCCTCGAAAGTAGGGGTTAGGTTCCCAGAAAGATATTCCATCTTTGGACCAGTTGTTTTGGTGCTAACGTATGTATGCACTGTCTACAGCGATGTTCCTAGTCGGCATTATCGTTAGGGAACCACGGGAATTGTCACTGCTGTGTAGTCCGGTCGGGGCTACTGACATCCACTGGGCAGGCGCAATATGAACTTGGCATTGGTGGTTTTATATCTCAAAAAAGATTAGTGAGATTGCTAAGTAGCGACACCTGTTTTACGGTGAGGGGTTTCACGACAAAAATGAATTGCACTAAAAAGCAGAGAGAGAGAGAGTTGTGATATCGGAAAGGAGAAGTAATGACAGCGTGTCTGTAGATCAGCGACGTAGAACGGTAATTACCACAAGGTTTGTTGATGGAGAGTCGCGCAAGGGCGTTAATAGCTATAAGCCTCTTAAAATGGCCGACGTTTTTATGTTCCTGGTATCACCGAGTCTGTACTTTTTCTCATTTGTACGCAGCAATCAGAAAATCGTACTATATATATCGTGACCTTGAAAACTGCTTCCGCGACGTTTTGATACAACTTCCTCATCTCCTGAGATTTATATCTTAACTAGATCCAAGTGGTAGAATAATAATAATAAAAATTACGTCGATCCAAGTGGTAGAATAATAATAATAATAATAAAAATGACGTTCCTGGAACAACTACAGGGACGGGCTGGATTTAATTAAGATACTTAATTGCTTAATTAACACCACTAATTTTATTACTAGTCCGTGTTTCTTTTGTAGGCTGCATATTTGAACACTTGTTTATCTGTATTGATATTGATCGTTGGCATTTCCTGTCTGGTTAGAGATGGGTTCACGAAATATAGGCAGGAGCAACAGGGTAATCAACTCGCCTTGAAGATGGTGACCGTAAGGAGTTTCGAAACGTTCAGCAAAACAACCGATATTTTCAGAACACTCACTACTTGGGTTAATCGTGTTGCGAAACCTAAACGTTTATCACTGACGGAAAGATTAATAATCATACCTCTTCTGAGACGCTGATGCATTTTAATATTATCTCCATTCTTCGCCGTGATGTCGCGCAAAGGCTTTTTTTTTTTGAGACTTTTTTGTTGTTTTATGAACTTACTTCCGTTATGAAATACATTATATATATGTCTAGTCGTTTTGAAATATTCAAACGGAAAACGGACAGTTGAGTGGAGAAATTGAGGTAGCAAGTTGAAACTATTTTGACGTGTGTGACTTCGACACTTCTACGCTGGAAAGGCTGGATGGGCAAGTCATGTCTCCTACCACTTTGAACCAGCAACTCCCTTGTCAGGATAATCTTCACTCCGCTGGACTGACTACTCCCTCCCCGCTCGTTCCTAGCCACAAACGCAAGCAACCTTTCTCCTCATCTTGGCAGGTTCCACATGCGTATTCCTCGGGTTGTACTGCAGGAAAACTAACTTTATGCTTATGGCCCAACGATCCATGATTATGTTCTTTTTATCTTATGCGACGTCTTGTAAGGGACACATAAATGAGTTTGCGACAGCATCGCAGAAAGGAAGCGAGGTTCAGTTATGAAGGAGCCCAAAACTCACGTCAGTACAAGAGTCGATTTGTGTGACCAGCCACTTTAAAACTCAAGGCATCAGCTGTACCCGTGTGCGTACTTGCAGATTGACAGTCTCACGGGGTCAACGAGTCATGATAACATTTATATAGAAACATTCTTAATGGAATGTAAATAATTCCTTATCGAAATTAACAGTGTGTAATTTGAAATGTAGAACACAAAGGGGCAGAGGCGAAATAAGTTGGAGGGGGGGGGGGGGGGGGGCTCAAAGACGCCTTCAGTCGTAGATACGTAGAATTTGAGGGTTCTGAAGAATATGGCTGTTTGGCGGAGCTGTCAGTGATTCCTTTGACATGGAGGAAGGCTTTGCTGACCGCTGTTACTCAAATTAATTGCCAGTATCGGGTATCAGAAAATGAATATTCATTTTTGGAAAAGTTTTTTGCCCGGTTATTCGTAATTTCAACTTTTATCACTCCGCGTAGTTTTTGTTAATTTAAGAAGTTAAGGCGTCTCTCAGTATTTGATTTTATCGTGGATTGCCGTCTTCCGGGAAGAAACGTCTTATACAGCCTTGGGATCTCGTTGAGTTTATCCTGGCTTGGAAATCAGTGTGAATTCCCATGCATAATGGAGTATTTGCGACTGAGGAATTTCTGCTGTAACAAGTTTCTTCAGTGAGTCGTGTTATCATGAGAGAGGAAAAGGTTCGTAGCTGAGCTGTAGGCAAGAAAGCGGTGAATGTGCGAGTAGATGAGGGTCTTGAAGAACCTTAGAATTGGTAACGATACGAAAAAGACGTTGGAAGGAGAATGTTGCTAGAATGTAGAAGTGGTAGGAGGGGTGTGGGGGGGGGAGACCACAGGACCTCCTGTACATTTCCATCCACCCTAGTATGGTTGATGTTACCGTGGCAGAAGTTCTTTGTCTAGTTTTTATACGTTCTCCATCCTGCGTGTTGGTGTTGCTAAGTTAGGTTAGGTTGCCTGCCGGACGCTGGCCGTGTCGGTTGTGAAGTTCTTTTCCGTTGGATGCTTTGCGTTTCGTTTTCAGCAGTGCAGAGGTAGCTTAGGAACTAGCCGGAGTGGAGTGGATTTCAGTGTGGAGGTTGTGTGAATCGAGTTTCTGCTTGCAGATGTGTGGTATAGTTCTGTTAATGGATTTAGTGCCTGAGGAATACTTCGTTGGGGTACATAATTACATTGTCTGTTTAATGATACGAAAGTTCTGAGCTTTTTACGTCTTGAAGCATGAATTGTGTGTTGCTGTGAGTGTTTGTTTGGCTGTAACGATAATTATTCACGAGCTTGTGCTTTGTACGAAGCGGACTCCGTGGCGTAACAAATGTCGAACTCTTCGTGTGTTCGTGTTTTCCATCTTTTGCAGTGATTGACTGAACACAAAATCGTGTTGTGGTGGCGCCAGTTTAAATTTCCAGCTTCATGTTATGTTTAAAGATCAAGGTACTTTGATTGGATATTTAATTGGCTGGATATTGGCGACTTTCAGGTGTCTCAGGTTCCCGAACAGACCTCATAATTGACTATCTGTACTTGTATGGTAAGTTCCTTACTACATTTTATAGATAACCCAGAACATAAAAATATAACCAATGTTGGATTAACATCGACTTGGGATAACTTTTATTGTGAGTCACGTTTTAAAAATAATTTATATTATAAAAATGTAACTAGTTGACCTAACGGGCCAATAAACAAGGTGGCAATGATTTGCGCATTTAAACTACGTCTTGCTTTGAATCATAGCAGAAGGGTACTTTCCGTGTCTAGAATGGGATAGTACCGTTTACTGTAGGTCGAAATGGGTTCTGTATCGGATGAAACATGAACAGGTATCGTGTATACGAGGCGGAGTTAAAACGGTTTTATTAAAGAAGCTGGGTTTGGGGACCGTCGTATACCACTGTGAGTGGTAAATTATCAGGTGCAATGTACCGGAGATATACATCGTTATCATCCACACAAGTTTTTTTTTTTTTTTTTTTTTGGTCGAAAATGTTGTGTTGTAAGGGGGATTTCCAGGCGTTAGCTGTGTGTACAGCTCACCTTTCTCTCCTGAACGATACATCGCAATATAAGGAAATATCGATCTGTAACACTCAGCAGCAAACATGTTTCTAGAATGCATCAGATTTCGTCACACGTAGTCTGCAAGGAAAGTTATATTTTCTAGAGTTCTAGGGCTCCACCCGTAATTCATTTGTCCACTTCCGTTTTGTGTATGTATTAACTTAGTTATCTATCAAGTGAAATTCTTACTTAGCTCCTCTCCTAACCCCCATGTTGGGAGGATCACTCCTTGTCGGCTGTCCGCTACTGCTCGATTATTTACAAGTACCATTCAGATATGAGGTTTATAATTTATAGCTGCTCGTGACGAATATATTATTAGGGCGAACAAATCCGGGAGGATGAGATGGATAATGCTTGTAGCACGCATGGGACATGAGAAATGCCCACATCATTTTAGTCGGACAGCCTGAAGGAAAGAGACAGTTGTGTAGACCCGGGTATAGATGGCAGGGGCGGTGTTACAATTAATCTTAAACGAGATTCCGTGACATACGGACCGAATTTTCGTAAAGGTTTTCTCGCAGACCGAACCCGTCTCGTTAAATGTACTGCTCACTTCCTCGCATGCACTGGACTCGTCTTCAGTCGAAGTTCAGTGACCCGCCAGCTGCCTTCCACCTACTTCTGTCCTGTGATGGCAGAATCTGTTTTTGAAGTCTTGCTTGTTCGTGAGGCGTTTGTGCCTATCGTTTATTCTAATTACAATACGAATTTAAGAACCCCACTCGAATTCATTTTCATTCGACGTTGTGCTACAAGCAGTTGAAAGCGTAGTTAAATAATAAACCATCTTGGACCTAGCACATTTATGTATGCGACGTTTCGGCACGTATTTCCGTTAATCAATTTTCAGATCCTCAGTTTTTCCCCCCCCACATTCTGACATGATTTGAAGATGACTGTCCTTTTTGCCATAATATGACGTGTAATCTGGTAGAATTTTACCGGCGGTGTTTGCTGCTTCCATCATAGTCGCCCTGATGATGGAGGCAGCAAGCACATCTGAAACGTCGGGAAACATCTTTCAGACTCTACAACCTGTAAGGTTTCTTCATCGAATTGCCTTAGGATAAGTAAACCTGAATTAATCCTAAATCCTTACATGCCGTGTAGCAACTCAGTATACAATTATGTAACTAACGTCTATTAACACTTAGCAGTTCTATATAATAGTTGTTGGTTATATAATTATATACAGCTGAAATAGAAAAAATTATTGACATGGATTCCCCATGAAAACGCTGAATTTGTTGTAGGGTGCTAGAGTATGTCAACAGATCGTGGATTTAATTAATCAAGTTTGATTTTTAAATCAATTAATGCTAATTTAAACAGGACTCAAGTGTTAAGAAAGCATGCACTATCGATTGCTTATTCGACTATCGATACTGGAGCTAGTGCAGAGATCGAGTACGTTGTGGTCGCGGACACCCGGGTGTCCCTTCGAGGATTTTAGGTTATTCGTAAGGATTTTTAAACTTTTATTCTACTAGAGCTCCTCGGGAGGGTTGGTAAAGTTCTTAAAACGCAACCAATCCCCCCTTCGGGGGCCTGATGTAATTATTTCAGTTCGCACATTTTCATTCGAACTTTACGTGCTATAAACTATGATCTCTTGTCAGTTCTCCCATAACCCAGGTAGACTGTCGACGAACGGCGTGGCTTTGTTTCTGTTGTAGCATCTTTGAGCGAATCTACAATAATACCAAGCTGAGTCTACACATAGTTGCAGTGGTAGGAGAATTTTCCAAGAGATGATCTGTGTTGTTTGTTAACATTTTTATAATTCTTTTGTAATGTAATGGTCGTATGTCTCATAATTACAGTGATTTTACAATATTTGGCGTGCATTTGATGCTGTAGAGTTCAGTATTGGTGATTAACCCTTCGAAGCACGAAGCTCGTTTAAATGATATTTAAATATCTGGTTCCTACCTCGTGACAAACACAACGCGTCTCCACGACAGCATTCACGTTGAAACTGTTCATGGTAATAACAGCTGTTTATTCCGAGATTCATACGAAACGAACAGCTGTACCGTGTGAGCCAAATTCAGAGTTACTGGTACATATATTTACCACTGGGTTTTAGAGGGTTATAGGATGTCTTAGTCGAAGCAGAGTCCAACTCTTTTAATTACATTCCTGTTTTTTTAGACTCTGAGCGTGAACTGCTCACAGCGCCATTAAATAAGCGATTTGATTCTGAATCATTTTCACTTTGTTCTGTTTAGTACAAAAATTGAAAGTACAATGTAAAAATCTTATCTGAATGGATTTATATTAAATAGTGTAGGCTTACGCTAGGGGTTGTATGTCTAAGGGTGGGGGGGGGGTTAAAGCTGAATTAGCTCTGTATTTACAACCTTATCTGTTACAGCATATGAGTTGCTAATCTGGTAGACCCAAGTAAGTGATTCAGAGGTCTGTAGCTGGCTGGAAAGCTGCGAGTAGCATAACGCGTAGGCGTTGAAGTGCAGTTAGCCGAGTGGACTTTGTTTAATGCAACCTTAAAATGCGTGAGATATTTTGCGAGGAATTTCCAGTGACCAAATGCGATGTCAGGATTTCTGTATAATTCATGTGACAGAATATTCCGTGGTGGCTTGTGTGCTTGGTGATGATGATTCACGGGAAACTTGTTGAGAATCACCTGGCACTGGAATGTTCCAGTATCCAGCTGTGTATGCACAGATACATAATTACGAAACGAACTGCGAACACTTTAGTAATACTCGACGAGCGTTGATTAAAGTATCGCTTTTTTTTTTGTAATAATCTTTTCTTGTATATTTATAATTTCTTTGTCAGTGAAGAACTATAACTGGTTCTGTATATGGTTACCCCGAAGATGGAGGTGATACATTTCTCCGAAGCTTCACAACCAGAATACCATTGTCCATGGACTGTCTGGATTAATATCAGCGGTAGGAAGTGAATTTGAAACGCCGTTGACTTAAGCCGTTCTTGTGGGACGTGAGAGATACAATTTCCTACATTTTCCGTAGTTCCTGGAAACACTTTTTATTATTAGAGGCAACGGGATATTTCTATATCGTTGCTGATACTGAAACGCTGTCAGTGTAATGACAACAAATCATCTGAAGGCTGGAGTAGACCGACTCCTGAAATAACTGGCACACCTCGGACAATATTGGCCAGCGTAATTTTTCTGTAATGAATTAATACAGAAAGAAATAATTTTGCGGTCCAGTTGTGGAAGAGGTTAAAATGGTATCCGAATATTTTTCAAAAACTATTATAGTTTTAACCCTTTGAAGCACGAAGCTCGTCTAAATAATACTATAATATTTCGGTCCGTACCGCGAAGAAAACACGACACTTCACCATTACGAAGATCGACTGGTTAACGCTGTTTTTTAAGGAAATAATCGCTGTTTATTATGAGAATCAAACGAAACACATAAATACAGAATTAAGAGTTTATAATTGTTAAAGCAGGTGGTACATATAGTTGCCACAGAGCTTAAGAAGTTTAAGAAAGAAGATAATTTTAATTTCAGCCTTCAGATGACGCTGGAGGAAGTTGGTGTTGTCGAATCAAGTGAGCTCGTTGAGTGAGATGCAATCCCATAGTTCTGGAGAGGTCACACATTAGCGGAGGTCCTCGTATGTGTCATCCCAACGACGCATTTACTCGGCTCACCCGCTGAGATGCGTATCGTCAGTCGTGAAAGGAGTAAAAACGGGGGGGGGGGGATTTTTGAAACCTGATTTACTTTGGTGCTCATTCAAATGCGCCCCGACGTTTCAAATGTTCTTGCTGCCTTCATCATCGGGGAGATGGCTATCCGCCTTTATAGTAGCTACTCTGTATCATTCATTGTTTTTTTTTGGGGGGGGGGCAAACATAGGAAATTAATAATGGATCTGGACCTTACAGTGAGCAATTTCAGTAATTAATTGACAATCCTTTATAGACAGTGACGTACACGACGATGATTCATGTGTGTTCCATATCCCCTTGATGCTCGTTCGGTAGTCTTCGGTTATATTTTGCCATTTGCCTGTGGTTCCACCACCTGGCACACTTCTGATTGGGGCTCTGAGGGGCGGGTTTGATGACGAAATCATGGCGGACCGGGGGACTTTTTTTCTTTGCTGTGTCCGAACTACTGTTTGTGCCTTGTGTCGTGGCCAACCGGGATTTAGATCGGCTCTGACGCCCTCCAATCTAACCTCCTACGCTGTGGGTAGCGGGTTAATTTCTCGGGGGCAACTCGCCTGCATCTAGTGAGTTAGACACACGTCTATGTGACCTGATACGGGGGGCAATGTTTTTGATAATGAAGTGATTTTAAATAAGAAATTAGCTAGATTTGTCGAGAACACAGAAACTCGTGCGTCCAGTTGGCGGGCGACGCGTAAACATGGCTAGAATTTAGGAATTAAAGAGCCGACTGCAAAGATCGCAATTGCGCTTTGGGATATTTAAACTAAAATGTT